AGAGGAAAGTGTACGGTGAAATGTCGTCAAATTCGGAGGTACGAAAAAATACGTGTACGGTCGCCGGTTCCGGACGGGCTAAAAGCCGTCCGGACGCCGGAACCGGACGGTCCTTAAACCGTCCGGACCGGCCGGCCGGACGACATATAAACCGGCCGGAAAGCACGGCCGGACGGCAAGAAAGCCGTACGGAAACGACGGCCGGTCGGAACCGGTCCGTCCGGTTCGGCCGGCCGGCCGGAATATTTTTTTTTTTTTTTTTTAAATTATTATGTTATTTATTCGAAATAGTTATGTTATAAATTGGACTATATTATTATGTTAGAAATTATTATGTTACATTTTAGACTTCATTATGCTATTAATTGGACGTTTATCGTGTTAGGAGTTACAAATTATTATGTTACATGTTGATTATAATATAAATTGGACGTTTAGATATTATCGTGTTACGAGTTAGAAATTATTACATTATATATTAGTTTTAATTATGTTATAAATTGACGTTTACATATTATCGTGATCGTGTTAGGAGTTACAAATTATATTAATTGAACGTTAGATAATATCATGTTACGAGTTACAAATTATTATGTTACATCCTAGAATTAATTATCTTAATTTAACATGTTCTAAAAATTGTACTATATAGCAGGAGTCATGGGAAGATTTTGGAGGAGATGGTGTTGATTACAGTGAGCGTTTCGATACATCTTCATTCTATAGTAGTGCTCAGGAGGCTATTGAAGCTGCAAAACACCAGGCAATGCTGAATGGTTTCCAATTAATTATTTCGAGCCACAAAAAGAAAACGGTCAGAGTTTTGAAGTGCCATAGAGGCGAACGGTACAGAGGCACAGGCGGAAATTCTAGAAGGACAAAAACGAATAAGTGCGGTTGCAATTTTGAGATCAAAGTAAAAAAGTTGTCCGGCGTTCCATACTGGAGGATCTGCAGATGTAGCAATGAAGAGAAAAGCTACCATAACCATGCATTTGCTGTGTATCCTGAGGGTCATAGCCAGTTGAGCGGTCTCAGCGCTTCATCTAAGAGAATTGTTCGTGAAATGACGGACGCTCAGGTGGCCCCGAAAAAAATTATGGCCGCGCTGAAGGAAAAGAATCCGGGAGACAACGTTCATGTGCGGCAGGTATATATATTTATATCTTGTAATATATGTTTTAATTAAATTTTTTAAGTTAATTATGATAATTAGTAATTTTTTATATGTAAAAGTTATTGTAATAATTAATAAATTTTATTATATTTAGTAATGTATTACTATTGTGATAGTTAATAATTTTTTTATCAAATTAATCGCATTAATATACTTTTTTATTTATTAATATAATAAAATTTTTGTTTTAAATTACAATAATCATTATAATTAACGCTAATCGGTGACAGGTATATAACTATAGAGATAAGCTGCGGAGAGAGGATTCCGACGGTAGAGACGTTCCTACTCAGCTTATGCATTTGGCCGTGAGCAGCCAGTATACAGTTTATGTAGAATCCGATCCGAACACGAAAGTGCTGACGCATATATTCATGGCCCATCCTGCGTCGATCAATCTATTCCGGACATATCACTGGTATGTCGGTATAGATTCCACGTATAAAACCAACAGGTATGTTACTTTATAAATACTTTATTAGTATGAATCTTAAATAGTGTGTTTGATTAAGTTAAGTTTTATGTGCTTATATTTTTTTTTTTTTGGTTACATTTGCACAGGTACAAGATGCCGTTCGTCGAGATGATTGGGATGACGCCGTGCAACCAGAACTTCCTGATTGCGTATGCCCTCATCAGGGACGAGAAAGAGACCAGTTACGACTGGGTTCTAGAGAAGTTGAGACTCCTGATAGGCCAAAGCGTATATCCTTATGTTGTTGTCAGTGACAGAGAGTTGGGTCTACTCACTCCTATTCAGAGGCATTTTCCTGAATCAGCCCACTTACTCTGCACGTGGCACATCAACAAGGATGTGGAAGCCAGAACCTACCACCTATTTGGGAAGAATAAAAAATTCTCGGAGATTTTCACGCACAGTACGTGGAAGGCGATTGCAGAGGCCAGTACGTTCGATGCCTACAACGATGCCGTTGCCGAGCTGCGCAAAAAATATTCGAACAACAAAGAGGTGCTACGGTATGTGGAGGGCACATGGTTAGTGCACCGCGAGAAGTTTGTGAAGGCTTGGACGAACCGATTGAGACATTTTGGAAACACAACTTCCTGTAGGGTGGAGAGTGCCCACTCTGCGTTGAAGGAGTGGCTTCAGACGTCCACCGGCGCGCTCGATACGGTTTGGCAGAAGGTTAATAAGCATATCGATAATCAAGTGACTGAAATCAAGTACGTACTGCAATTTTTAAATGCGTTATTATATTACTGCATTAATTAATTATAATCTAACGTTATGTAACGTATTATCAGGACGGCGCTTGAGGCCTCGAGATCTAAGAAGAATACACGGTATTAATCCGTTTCGCGAGCGTGATACTCAGGGTCTCGCATTACTGTCTGAGTTTATTGGACGCTGAGCTTACGAGGATGCAAAAGTTGGACACCGATGTTTACACTAGCTGCGGTTGTGTATTGCAGCTCACTCATGGACTTCCTTGTGCCTGTCTCCTCCGTAGCTGAGAAGATTTCGACGTTCCGATTGATCTCGGAATGATTCACCAGTTCTGGAGAACGCTCGAGATATTAGAGCCAGGTAATTTAAGATTAATGTTTTATTTATAATTTCCTATTAAAATACATTATTTATTTTAATTCATTGACTTTTTTATCGTATACTTGTAGGGACTGGTCATCCGAGCCAGGCGAGCAACGCTGCATGGTCAGATGCAACGTTCTTTCAGACGCTTGTGACTGAGGTTGAAACCCGCGATCCCGCGACGATGCGGTACGTGAATCAGTTCATGTACAGTCATCTTTACCCAGACCAACAGGATTATGCGGAACCTGAGGTTAAGGATAACCCGCGAGGTCGTCCCAAGAAAACTAATTCAACGAAGCGTAAACCATCTGGTTTTGAGTACAACGAAAAATCGCGAGGTCGGAAATCGAGCCGTACGACCAATTCTTCGCGTGGAAAGACAAGTTCGTCTTCTCAACAGTCACAAGGGGATGAAGGTCATACATTTTTTTTTTTTTTAAATACGGTTGAGCGTTAATTAAAGTATTTATATTATTATATAAATTGTGACGTGAAATTATTATGATATTTATTGCAGAGTTCAGACCGACAAATATTTTTAGATTTTCATATTGGCAATGTATCCCCTGACATATGTTGGACTACGTAGTGAGTTACCTGAATGTGGATGCGGATTTCGGGTCATCGCGAGTCACATGTATGGTCATCAGAAGTACTGGCCAGATGCAAGAGAAAACATTGCGAAGGAGGTCGAGAACCACCCTGAATTGTACGAGTACATCTATTTTAGAGATATCGAGGCCGGACTCCGTCGCATAAGGTGGCCCAAAGGCTCTTGTCCATCGACTCACTGGTTCGAAGTTCCGCAGGACCTCTTTGCCGTTGCGACCCTATTTAATGTGGTTGTCGTTCATTTGAGCTCTGGTTCAAACGGTGGGCAGCACAACTTATTCAGCACCACGGTGTTGCCTCTCACTGCACGATCATCGGCTAGAGGACCATGTCGTGAGATTGCCATTTGCCATCTTGGTCGCATAGAACACTACATTCGTTTAGATTTGACTGATGATTGTCCATTACCGCCTATTCATAGCATGTGGTTTCGTTACCGAGATCAATCGGTAGTGGGTTGGGAGCATCAGTACCTGTCTAGGTTGCAATTGTGGTACACTG